CTCTGTTTTGTTTTAATTTTCATTTGTGTGTATAGTGGCTTCTCACGGAGCCAGCACCTTGTCTGTGTCCCAGACACGGTTGTTATTTTTAAAATGACAAATGCAAAACAAACTATATTTTAAAAATTGCAGTCCTCGCTTTGAGGAGGACAATCCACTGACAAGAGCATTTCATTAGGACGCACGTCAATTAAGGTCTGTGCATATTTTGCTCTTGATAGCTTTCTTGTGCTAACAAATGCTAATGGGACATAAACAGAGAGCCTATTTTTGATGGACACATCTAATATTATCTAACACCGTCTCTGGAGAAATCAAGGGAGAATAAGATTTTCCCTAGATACTCCTTGTGAATGTTAGTGCTCTGCTCAAGGTTGCCATCGCCTCAGGTTTGGTAGGAACTGGGAGAGAAAGGTGACAGAGCTATATAGCAATGGACAAGATGCTTTTCAGTGGCCACAGGGACATCAGGCAGGAGTGAACAGAGAAAGACTCTTCCTGCAAAGGAGGCAGAGCCTGGAGAGGGTGTGACTAGCAAGGACCCTGGGCAAAGACGTCATTAGAAGAACCCGTCATAGGGAAGCCGGGCGGTAGTGGCACACGCCTTTAATCTCAGCACTCGGGAGGCAGAGGCAGGCGGATCTCTGTGAGTTCGAGCCTGGGCTGGACCAATAGCCTCCAAAACAATACAGAGAGACCCTGTCTCGTAAAACCAAAAAAAAAAAAAAAAAAGAAGAAGAAGAAGAAGAAGAAGAAGAAGAAGAAGAAGAAGAAGAAGAAGAAGAAGAAGAAGAAGAAGAACCCATCATAGAGAAGCATCCACACCCTTCCTTCCCCACTCTGTTCCCTGACTGAATGCCAGGGCCATGTGGCCTGGCTCAGACTCTGGTGATCCCAGGGTGCTGATGTCCAATAAAATCCCCTCAACAGTGATGCAGAGTCCAGGACAGGAGTAAGAAAAGGAATCATGTTTCCTGAATGTCTGCTATACACCCAACACTGTCTCTTGGGATGTTCCCTACCACAAGCCAGGAAAAAAGCACAGCTTACTCTTTCTACTAGCTGCTGAGTACCCTCAGGCCCACAGAGGTAAAGCAGTATTCCCAAGGGCACACAGCTGAGCCCTGATCTTTCTACCTACAGTGACCCCCATCGGCAGAGAAGGCACAGGGCACAAAGCAAAGAGCTGAGACCAAGTGGGTTAAGGCAAGGTGGTGATCAGGAGAGTTCACAGCATGGTCTCCCAGGGTGCTTTCACAAGAGTCTCTGCAGTCATCTCTGTCCCTTCAGGCTGCCCCTCTGCAGGTGAGCCTGCAATTAAGTTGCTTTTGTTAGGCACTTCCTGGCAGCAATGAGAAAGGTAACTAACACAGAAAGTTAGTATTGAGAAGTGGAGCCATTGCTGGGGCCATGTGGTCATTATGACTTTGGAATTAATGTATAGGAAGCATGTGAGTGAGAAAGTGTTTCCCACTGTGGACTCCAGAAGCCCTAGAATGCTTTAAGCAGAATTTGATGGGCCATTCTGGTGAGAGTTTGAGGAAGCAGCAATCTGAAATGAGCTTAATAAAGACTGTGCTCATGGGGTTTTAGAGAGCATAAGGACTCTTACCGGGAATTGGGCTGGAGGGCATTTGTGTTATATCCTGGCAAAGAATCCCCTGAATCTTGTTCGTGTTCTGAGAACTTAAGTGAGGCTGAACTTAAAAGCAATGGACCGCTATTTGGCAGAGAAAATTTCAATAAAGCCTAGCATTAGGCTATGATTATGGTGTGGCTATTGCTGTTATGTTTAGTGAGGTTTGTAATGAGACTTCAAAGCAGAAGGATACGGAAAACGGATAATTTGTCCAGAAACGAGCATGAGCAGATTCAAAGCTATGTTGAGGTGAGTGTGGAGAAAGCAGCTACAATTACAGAAATTGCACCTTCCAGGAGAAACCTTGTTTTCTATGCTGGAACAATAGAAAGGATGCCTTGAGGGCAAGACTGTAACAGGACCCCAGACATTAGCACAACTGACTCCATCCATGATGGAAGTGCCACTTGGGCCATAAAACTCTTCATGTAGACAACATCACCTGATAAATCAAAAACAAGACCTAATCCATCAAAGTCCAGAGTTGTGGGGGAAAACCTCTAAATGTACTAACCTTGTTTTTTGACCTCTGTACTTCTACTTCTGGCTAATTGTTTTTGTTAAGTGAATATGCCAACCCAGGATAATCACCGGCCAGGTAACGAAGATATTCCAATGGCTTAAACCCATATCCAAATAGTCATCTCTGGTGGGTTCCGCACAACAAGACACCACCCATCAAGGGTACCAGTTTAGGGAATGCAAATGCATTAGAAAGAAAGGAACTTGATCTGAGTATGCTCCTGAGGAAGTTCTCCATTTGACACCAGAGAGGCCACTGCATGAAGCTTTGAAGATAAAGCTTAAAATAAAATAGAGACTCTAGGATTTTCAGATGCTGGGACCCTGGGAAAGTCACCAAGGAAGAAAGCTGGCCCAAGAGAGAGGGTATGCTTTAGATAGTAAAACTGGAAGGGTAGGTTGCCCAAGCCCTATGAGACTCAGACAAGGCCACCAAAGAGCTCCACTTGGCAGATATGAAACTTCAGGGTTTGGTATGTTGAATCTTGGTCTTTTCAATTCTGTCTTTCTTTGCTGTGTCCTTGGTTCCCTGCTTTTGAAGAACAAGGTTTACTCTGGCATTGTACAATGAGAGACTTATATTGATCAGAATGGCCTCCAACTCATTGTGTAACCAAACTCCAAAATGCTGGAGGATAGGCATGGACCTGGGGCTTTTGAATAATGTTAGAAATGTTAAGATTTGGGGAACTTTTAGAGATGAACTGAATATGCTGTGAATTGGCCATGACTCTTTGTATAGTGTTGATTCAAAGTGATGTATTCAAATGTCAGGTTGACAAGGGGTAGACTTCGATGACTAATCTTCAGTGTCAAGTGGATTAGGAATCACCTAGGAGACTAACTAATCTCCTCCTCTAGGAGCAGGGGTGGTTCCAGAAAGGTTTAACTGAGGTGGGAAGCCTACCCTGAACACAGGTGTCACTGTTCCATGGCCTGGGATCCCAGGATGAATAAGAAGGGGAGAAGAAGAGAGTGAGCCCTGAGCACCAACATTCATTCTTTGCTTCCTGACCATGCATGTCATGTGTTTGGCCATCTCACACTCCACTTGCCAAGCCTTCTTGCCACGCTGTACCGGATCCCCTCAAACAGAAGCAAAATAAACCCTTAGGTTGCTTTCATAAAATACCTTTATAAAATAAATACCTTTTATCCTAAAGGTCTTTGGTGGACTGTTGGCTGGAATTTGAATACCCTAGGTAGTGAGATCAAATATATTGGACCGGTGCAGCTCCTTGATCTTGAGCAGTGCCCTGTGGTCATGTGAGAGAATGTGTTTAGGAAACGCATGCTGAAGGGTGCAGTGCTAGCTTGTCTGCAACTTAGCCCCAGGTACCTCAGAAACACGTTCAGTATGGGTAGTGAGTGGGAACATGACAAAGGCAGGCAAGTGATATGATTACTTTAATAAGCAGACTGAATTACTGAGGGGTGAATGCAGACTGGATGAGGGAAGGTACAGATTTTACTGGGGATTAGGGGTCAAAAAGTATGTTGGGGTAAGAGGCTCCAACATTCTGATGGCCAGGGATGTCCAAAAACAGAGGAAACGGCCCTGGTCCTTAGGGAATGAGCTCACCATCCCTGGGGACAAGTAAGCAGAGCAGGAAGGGACTGCACACCTGTCAGGGGCTGATTCTGTGACTCTACTGGCCACAATGGGCTTCTGAGTTCATCCAATGCAAGAAGAGATTTGAGTATTTTTCTTTTTCCTCAACCCTACCTCAGTGTGAGAATAACATTCCCTAGAGGTCATGTTGCTAAATCATTATCATCAAAACATTAGTTTTTAAATTGGCCCTTTTCACTTAGGGGTGCTTTTAAGCTGAATATTTGTAACAAATTAATGGCTTCCTGGGACTTTACTTGAAGGGAGCTGACTTGGAAAAGGCTCTTGATCATGTGGGACCCACAACAGCTGGACTTCACTTGAGCTGAGAGTCAACCCAGGGATCTCAAACATCTTTCCTCAGCCTTGCCAGAATCCTATTCCCAATCTAGACCATTTTGAGTTTAGACCCTCACAGAGTGTCTCCCCCACCACCCACACTATCTCAGTTCCATCCTGCCCTCTCCCCATCTCCTGCTGGGGCCATCATCACCGTTCACCCGCCCATGTCTGTGGCCCCTTTCTGTTCTCCAGACTTCCAATTCTTTCTCCCCACTCAGCTAGAGTGTACTAGCTAAGGGCTAGTCAGGGCCTAAGAGTGCCTTCCATAGAGGTCCCTGCACGCTCCTGCCACGCTGAAGCTCATCCTTCAGCCCTCTTCCTCTGACCCCAAGTCTCTCACACCCTCCAGCTAAATCATCCCCATCTCTGCCAGGAGAGCCCATCTGTGTCCTTCACTATCTGCTTGGGAAAATCCTCACACTGGTAGGTCCCTCCAGAGTATCCTGTCTCTGCAAGAACATTTTCATTGGAGAATATTATTTTAACTATGTAAATATGTGTGCATTTGCTTATGCTTTGGAATATCACTTTAACTGTGTAAAGGTGTGTTACTTTTGTTTATGCTGCATTTGTTTAATGATGTAAGGATGTGTGTTTAATTACAAAGAGAAGTGTTGCATCTGTTTCACCTTGCCTGCCTAAGGCACCTGATTGGTCTAATAAAAAGCTGAATGGCCAATAGCTAGGCAGAGAAGGGATAGGCAGGGCGGGCCGACAGAGAGAATAAATAGAAATCTAGAGCGACAAGAGGAAGGATGAGAGGAGAGAACAAGGGACACACCCTGGACAAGAAGCCAGGCAGCCACAACTGGCCAGACATGAGAAGCAGTGAAAGTAAGAGACACTAAGGAAAGAAAAGTGAAAAGCCCGGAGGCAAAGGTAGATAAAGAGAAACAAGTTAATTTAAGTTAAAAGAGCTAGCCAGGCATTCAAAACTAATAAGTCTCTGTGTCATGATTTGGAACTGGTGGGTGGCCCCAAGGAAAGAAGCCTGGTACACCTTCCCTCCAATCAACTCCTGCCCCCACCCTGTGCTCTGGAGGCTCCTGCCATTGTCCAGGTGAGCACAAGGGTGCTGTCTTGGTGTGTTCTTCGCAGCCTCATCCCCCAGCTCCTCATCCCCCTGGAAACAGGGGCTTTTCCTCTCCAGTGCTTGCCATGACATAAATGCTGTCATTCCACTTATCCAGTTTCACTCTCTGCAGTTTCTATTACGGCTAATTTGAAAATATGACATGGAAAATTCCAGAAATAAGCAATTCATTTGTTTTAAGTTGTGTGCCATCCTGGGTACCACGATGAAGGCTCACATCATCCGGCTTCATCCCACACAGGATGTGAGTCACGCCATTGTCTAGAATGTCCATGCTGTGTACACTGCTCGCCATCTAGTCACCTAGTAGCTGACAGTGGAGACTGCCACAGTGCCACAGTGCTTGTGTTCAGGAGACCACTGATGTCATAGTCCAACACTGCCGCAATGCTTACGCTGTGTGCCTCTCTACAACTCACCGTACAGGCATGACGTCAGCCGGTATCTCAGAAGGGTGAGTACAGAACAATGGGATGCTCCAAGAGGCATGCTCGTTGACCTTTTACCATAGGTTTAAGGGGACTGTCCATGTTATCAATGTTAACTGTTGTGGATTTCTTACTGTACCTAATCTATAAATGAAACTGCCATGGTATTCGTGTGTAGGAGGGAGCATGGCCTGAACAGGTTTGATATGATTCTGTGATTTGTGGTGTCAGGCATCCACTGATGTCTTAGAGCACATTCCCCTGGAAAAGCAGGGAATGCTGTGACTGTGGATTGAGATAGTTGTCGGGATGAACAAGTGAAAAAGCCAGGAGGCAGATTAAATGACATTTCCTTAAGAAACCAATAAGCAAATGAAGTAATGGGTGATACAGTCAATGCCTATAAATGGCTAAGGAACAGGACCTTCTGCCAAACTTTGAAAGTGCTGGTTCCCAAACCTGGCTATGAGTTTAAGGCCCCACCCCCACCCCATCTCAGATCCACCCACTCGGAGTCTTTACATGAAGGGCAGAGTCTCAGTGTTTTAAATTCCCTGGTGTCTCAGGTGCCCTGGAGCTGACAGTCTCAGAGTGTGGGCCCTGGGCTCCCACAGCCTAAGCTGAGACATTTGTGTTCCTTAAGTTGCACTATGCTGGAACATTGGAAGAGGCTGATGTGGGCTTGCTCATTTGCATGTCTGATAAGCTTTCAGTGCTCTGCTACTGGCTGTGGTCAATCGAGGCTGTGTTCAGGACCTTTGTACATGGAGAGGGTGGGGGGAGGAGGGAGGTGCTGCCTGCTGGTCTGGGGCAGGAAGCCTTATGAGTGAGGTAGATTGTTCCATCAAATATTGCTCTCTTTCCTTTCTCATCTTTGTAGATGACACAGCTGGGGTCTGGGGAAGGGTGGCAATTTGCCCAAAGCCTGGTATCAATCTTAGAAAAAAAAAGTTTATAGCATTGGTGTGTGCCTCAGTCAAACGTGTTTGATGCTCGGTGCTCAAAGCCAGGCCCCTTAGCTAGCCTTTCCTCTTGCTAGTTGATAGCAACCTCCCCAGGTCCCTCTCTAGAGATGAGATGGACCTGGGGGATAGGGGTGGGGATCAGCTCTATTTCCTGGCTTGTGAAAGAAAGCAAGGGCTATGCTGGCACCCCACACCCCACATCATAAAGGAAGGAGCAGCACCCCACACCCCACATCATAAAAGGAGCAGCACCCCACACCCCACATCTTAAAAGAAGGAACAGTACCCCACACCCCACATCATAAAAGGAGCAGCACCCCACACCCCACATCATACAGGAAGGAGCAGAGCTGGGTCCCCCTGCTGAGCCCTCTGCCCTGGTATTGACTCCTATTCCTTTTACAGAAGGTCTCTCTTGGGGTCCCCAGATTTCACACAGCTCCTCTATCTCTCTGCCTGTTGCATGCTCTCTGAAGATGGCTTTAGAGGCAGTGGGCTGGAGACCAACAGCCACCTCTCCCCTTTCTCCTCCACACCAAGTTCTGGTTTTGTTCGGGTGTCAGGTTGCCCCATAGTATAGGTGAACATGGCTCTGCTCCAGCTGGTTGGTGAATCTTAATGGGTCTATTCCTAGTCACGTGGTCCTTTGCCCTGGATAGAAGTTGGTAGAAATCTGGGCATAAGAGTAATCCTAGCCAAGAAAATATGGTGGACAGACTTGGAAGCATGGAGTTAGGAAGGGTGATTGTTTGTTGCTTATTTTTTGAGATGGAGTCCCTTTACATCCCCAGCCAGTCTAGAACTCACTAGACCAGGCTGGCTTCCAACTCACAGAGATCCCCCTGCTTCTGCCTCCTGAGTGTTGGGATCAAAGGCTTGTTGCCACCATGCCCAGAAGATTGGGGTCTTATATGGTGAGGAAAAAAGATGGACGCGTGGGTGGAAAGATAAATAGATGACATTCAGGAGTCATGATCGACGTGTATAGTACAGTTCTAACAGTAGAGCTCAGGTGGTAGACATTCAGATGGTCCTATGCTATTCATTTAACTTGCCTATGTTTAGAAGTTTAAAACATAAAAAATACTGAAACATGATGCCAAGCATTTAATGAAGCCAGGTGTGTGCATGCTCTAGGACCCAGCAATTCTATTCCTAGGTGTTTGCCTAACAGAGAGGCAGGTTTAGTGTTTGTCCCCCACTCTCTGACAGTTTGGGTTCTGCTCAGGCTGCACTGTGACCCATAAACACTCAGTATTTCTCAGAAGCCTTGTAAAGTGGGTTTGTTTATCAGGAAAAGTTACTACTCTGGGAAACAGAACCTTCATTCAGTGGCTGATGGAAGAAGAGGCAGACTCCCACAGCTAAGCACTGAGCTGAACTCAAGAAAGCCAGTAACAGAGAGGGAGGACTGATGACCAAACGGATTAATACTGGGCTGGTTTAACCCCCAGAAACAGCTGACCTGACAAGGGTTAGCTCTTGAATCCCAGGCTGATGCCTGGAAATCCAGCATGGGACTGATCAAGACCTCCTGAATGTGGGTGTCAGTGAGGAGGCCTAGGTAATCTATTGAGCCTTGGGAAGTAGATCAGTATTTATCCCAGGTATACAAATGGACTTTGGACTCCCATCGAACAATGTGAGATGCACTCTCACCCTGAACTCTTGGGGGAGGGTCTAGGCCCTGCCCGGGATGAAATGACAGACTATGGACACCCCCATGGAGGGCCTCACCCTCCCTGGGGAAATGAGGGGATATTGGGGGGGGTTAGGGGGCAGGAGAGGAGGGAAATGGAGAGGGACCTGGAACTGACTTGTGAAGCAACCTTGTTTCTAATTTAAATTTAAGTTTAAAATAATAATAATAATAATAATAAAGATAGTATCCACTACCACAGCCCGCCCTGCCCCATCTCTGGAGAAGGCATCTAGTTTTCTATTAACTCAAGTAAGATTGCAACATACCAAAGCTCCGTGCTAGTTCCTAAGCTGTTCCAGCTAATTCTCCCTCCTCCCGGATACCCGTTCGCCTTATACCTGGTGAGCCTCCCCCCCCCCCACCACACACACACGCACTACCCTGCTTCTCTTTGCTTCCTCAAGAGCCAGCCTTGGCAGTTTGGAATAAACTTTTTTCTTTTCCACCCACGGAGCAGCCATTTTGGTAGTTTCTTTACTGTGCCCTTGAATACAGTGTTTACCAAAAGACTGTACAAAAACATTCACTGAATCATCTCAACAGGCTTCTGCTGGAGACCACAACATTCATCAACAGAAGGACAGGTAGACTGAGATTTTCAAATAATGGAAATAGACATGAACAAGCCACAGCTCCAAGGGACAGATGAGATTTCATCAGTACAGCGCTGGGCAAAGGACACTGAGAATTCTGCCTGTGTGGCAGCATGAATGTAAAGCTCACAAGTAGGCCAGTCTAAGCTGCAGTGACACCTCGGGGCATTGCTTATCTCTCTAGGAGACACAGACAGAGGGAATATAGATGAAGGAGTTCTGGGGGAGGGACTTGTTGATCTGGTGCTGGCTGCAGGCAAGTAGTGGGATCTCCTGCTTTCTTCTTTATTTTGTGCCGTGGTTATGCGTTTAGAATGCATATGGCTGTAGGAAAGCACCCCATCCTTGGCTTTCTGTGCGAGGGTGGCGAAGCTTGGCATTTCTCCTGCCATCCTATGGCCAGGTGAGGAAAGGCCAGCCTTCTTGGACGGCACACAGGAAGGATGGAACCCGGCGACCTTGACTCTGTCCTCTCTCCTGGCTTCTGTTTGGGATGGCAGATGCCTTCACTGGCTAAACCCTTTGCTGGAGTTGGCACAGTAAACCTAACAGAAAAGGCCAGAGGGAAGCTTGGGTCCTGTATGTACATGACAGGGACAAAATCATGGCATCTGTCCTCAGGCAAAGAGAGCCACTTTTACTGTTGGGGAAACTGAGGCACAGAAAGGCAAGGGCAGACACAAAGCAAGGTGGTCGTGGAGCTGGACTGCTAGGCCTTTTCCTGAATTCTAAGACAGTATCAGTGACAGCTCGCTCCTCTCTGCACTGCTTCTATGAGCTCTTCCCCAAGTTGTTAGTTCTCCTCAGTCCACCCCTTGATGCTAAGCTGGGATCTCCTGAGGGCCAGGTAACAAGGACAGATTCTCTGAAAGGAACAGTAACAAGTGTGGGGTGACTGCTCTCCCCCAGCCACCCTCCCCTCCTTGCTGGTAAAATAAAAAGCCCTTTTGTTAAGGCGGGGTGGACTCTGCCCTGGGGCAGTCCCCCCAAAGCATGATAACTCTTCTCCTTTCTTTCTGGTGCACACTTTGCTCTGCCCAGAGCCAGAGAAGACGCCTTCCTTCCCCTAAGCTGGCCATTCCATGGTCTTTCTCAAGCCCCGTCTTTGGCGCCCTTCTACAAGACTTCCTGGACTCTCCTGCTTCTATTTGGTCGCCAAGTTCTTGCTCTGCTTCAGAAACTAACCTGACTGAGGCAGTGAGGTAATAAAGAAAAACCAAACGCACAGGAATCCGGGATCAGGGGATCTGGGCTCTCTGATGGAGAAACCTCAGCATTCTGGATATCCAGTGTGTTAATTATATACAGTTGAACTGGGAGGCAGGTTGTTACATACAGCTGAAGGAAGAAGTGTGATTATTACATACAAATAAACAAGAAGGCAGTGCTTATGGTACACAGCAGGATCGATGAGGGAGGTTTAGTTAATCTCAGTAGGAGCAATCTCTGTAGGGGGCAATTTCCAGGCCATAAACATGGAGGGAGGGAGCTATGGTGGACCTCTTCTACATGCACTATCAACATTGGAATATGGACCAGGGGAAGTATGTGCCATCTCTCTGAGCTTCACCCTTGTGGGGGAACGGTTTTGCCATTTCCCCATGGGTCTTGAGGCTATGTAGTCCTTGACATGGTCATGCCCATGTCTTCAGCACACATCTATCCAGACTTCACTCACTCAGAGCCTCCTCTTCTCCACATACAAGGCAGTCAATAAAAAGGCAGTAACTCCTGTGCCTGGCCCTGGAGAGGCGCATTCTCATTCAGCTACTTAACAGCCTTCTGAGGTAGCAACAGGCCTTGCAGGCCCTGCTGGCAGACTGAGGAGCTGAGGACCGATCAGAACAAGAGACCATGTCAAGTTGCACAGAGTTCTCCCCTCAGAAGAGCCCTGACATAGCCTGTGGAACTGCCCAGCCCAGCAGGAAGCACTAAGCCCCAGTGTGGGGTGTACCTGGCAAGACCAGGATGGAACCAAAAGCTCAGTGCACAGTGATTCATATCGCCCACCACAGCTCCGTGAGACAGACACCACCATTAGTACCAGTTCACAGAGAGGAAACCAGCTATCAAAAAGAATTTGCTCTGCCAGCTATTACCTGCTCATCACCAACATACTCCGTTTCTTTACCTAGCAACTAAAGCAGCCAGCAAGAGCTTCCACAGTGACTAAATACATTGAAAGATTTGTTGGAAAGCATAGTGGACAGTGTCAGCAAGGTCAGAGAGCAATGCATACCGTAATAAATGGTGGACATGTGCAGAAATAGATCTTTTAAAAAACCACTCTGCACATAATTTGTTAAGAGAAGTGTAATAACGCGTGTTCCTTTGACTCAGCCCTCCCTGTTCCCAGACTTACTTTCTTAGTCATTGTTCAGAGAGGTGACCAACATTTCCAGAAATGTCACCATGGCATCACATGTGACAACAGTCATAGAAGAAAGAGCTCACTGGAAGCTTGATGACAGGCTTTTCAGGATAGTTGTTAGGCACCCCCTCCCAGCTCAGCAAATACCCCTCAGTCATTCAATGTGACATTGAAAAAAATAGCAAGTGCCGCTTTGCTTCAAGGGGCTTCAATTTGGTGATAGGTAAAAATAGAATGGAAAGTTTCCACATTCAGACAGTCTCTGACTCTCAAGGGCCAGATGTTTTTAGCTGGGCTGTCATCTAAAAGTGACAGGCATTTGGCAGAAACCATACCTCAAGTCTTTATTTTGAACTGTAATTTTTCCTGGGCTGGTAATATTCCATGTAAGACTGTGTTGCCAGGCAGAGCCACTCATCAGTCACAGGATGAGATGAGCCCACTGCTACTCTGCAGCTGTCATGTGATCTATTGTGGATGTAGCACTGGTTGAGTACTTCCTGTGATTTTTTTTACTTCTGATATTGGGATGTAACCCCATCTTCACACAATACCACATGTACCCTGTTGTAATGTTGCTTCTCAATTGGAAGGAGATCTTGGGAGATGGAGTAGGAGTGTTATCAAGATTAATCAAAGTACCAGCTACATTTGCTGCAGAGGTAGGCATGACACCTGATGTCGTTCCTACTCATAGCAACTGCCCTGGTTTAGGTTTACTATTGCTGTGACGAAACATGACAAAAGCAATTTGGGGAGGAAAATATTTATCTGTCTTAGGCTTCCACATCATCTAAGGATGTCAGGACAGGAACTCAAAATGGAAGGAACCTAGAGGCAGGAGCTGATGCAGAGTCCATGGAAAAGAGCAGCTTACTGGCTTGCTCATCCTGCTTATAGCACCCAGGACCACCAGCCCAGGGGTAGCACTACCCACAATGGACTGGACCTTCCCCATCAATCACCAACTAAGAAAATGTCCTGCAGGCTTGCCTATAGCCCTGCCTCAATGGAGGTTTCCTCAGATGACTTTAGCTTATATCAAGTTGACATAACTAGCCAGCATAGTAGCAGATCCAGATGTGATGGCACATGCCTTTTATCCCAGCACTAGGTAGGCAGATCTCTTGAGTTCAAGGCGTGCCTGGTCTACAGAGGGAGTTCCAGGACAGCCAGGGCTACACAGAGAAATCCAAAACCAAAACCACCAACAGCAAAAGAAACAAAGCAAAAACCCAACTACCTAGCCCAGCAACCTTTCAAGATAGTCACTGTTGTGCGGCTCAGTGATCTCAGTGACACAGGCACAGGAAATTAGACTCCTAGCTGCTGTAGTTTGGATCCAGAACTGGAGTGCCATTGCTCATGTTGTCTGTCACTGTCAACACCCATGGGCGGAGGCCAGAACTGAACCCTTAAGTTACGCTTCATTCAGAGGGCCAGCAATGTAAGAAGGGGACTGGTTCACACCCTGGGAAGCATAAACCACCTGGGCAGGTGGTCAGTCTCATCCCTGGATTTTGTGGGGTCGATGTCCGGCACATCCCCCACCTCAGTGGTCTGTCTGTTCATAGGCACCCTGGCTGTTCATAAGGCACCCTGACGGTCTATGTGTTAGGGCCTTGGTCCTCAGCTTGGCACTGTGAGACTGTTAGGGGTTGCTTTAAGAGGTAGGGCCTAGTGGAAGTCTTAGGTCACTAAGGACAGCCCCAGGGGTAAGGAGACCCTGTCCCCATCACCAATTGTCTCTTGTTTGACACATGTGATCACCAGAAGCCTAAAGGTAGCAGATGCATTGACCATAGAGTAGGAGGAAAGACCAGAGCCCTTCCCGAGATAAGTGCTGATTGTCCCAGGGATTTGCACAGTATCAGAACTCTAGGGCCTGTGCAGCACCCGCCCCTGACCCTGCCCTCTACTCCTCTTGAACAGTTGCTGGGATGACTTTGCATGTGGATGGTGCAAATGCACACACGGCTTTTACCACTCTTTTCTAAGCTGTTTGCAATGATCATCAATCAGTTTTATAATCAAGGTGGAGAGAAGGCAATAAAATCACTGGGTCATGCAAAGAGTCTGGAAAGTTCCTGAAGACTGTTATTCCCCAGGTGTTAGCAATAATGTTTTCCAGATGGTGGAGTGTGGTTTCACTTAGTGCTCTCTTACTTTGTCGTTTTTCTAGTGGAAAGGGAGTTCATGGGTTATTTAGAATTCTGGCATGGTGTCTCCTGAGGTTTCCATGGTGGTCTGTCATGGCTGGAAGAACCTGAAGATGAAGGTGGTACCTGCAGACCCTTGGCAGCACCCCACCTCCACACCACCCCTCCCCGACATACACCGGAAAAGCTTGGAGCCAATGCCAGCTTGTCTCTCTTCGTCTGCTCCCGGGAGAGCCATGTCCTCGCTCATCTGGAACTTTCAATTAACCAGGCACCAGGCTCCAGCTCAGAGGCTGAACAAATGTTCCAGGGAGGGGAGAAAAATCCAGCCCCAAAGCACTGGGAGGACATTTCCTTTTAATTAAAGTGAGAATTAAGGCAGCTCTGAAACCCATTCTGGTGAGACCAGAAGGTGGTCGGGAGGGAAGGTGGCTGGGGATGTGTTCTTGGGAGAGAGGTGGAAGGCAGGGTGCGGGGTATGGGGAGGGAACCATCCTCCCTGTAGTTCTCATTAGGCCCCCGCAGGTCTGGGGCTGCTAATGCACAAGGACCGGTGAATGGCATCAGATGGTCCTGATAATTAGAACCCATGACCCCCAGGGCCGCCTTACTGGGACAGGATTATTGCTGACACTGGCTGTTAGGGTACATGGGAGGAAACGCTTGAGCAGATGGAGTTTACAACAGGGTCCTGGGCCTCCAGGCTCTCTATCCACTCTTCCTGAGCCAACCTCCAGAGGCCCTCAGCCCAGAGGAAAAGGCCTCAGCCTTTGGGTCTGGATCTCTCTGGCATGGGCGTGGGTGTTGGGAGGCAGCAGGATGGTGGTATCACATAATAGTGACCCCCAGTTTCTGGATGTCACCACAGCTTGTGGGGTGAGTCTGTCCCTTTTCCCCTCCTCCTTCTCTCCTCCTCCCTCACCTCCCTCTCCCTCCTCCCACCTGATGGGCTGCCAATCAATCTTTTGAGCCTCCAGAACTGTGAGCCGAAAGTACAGTTGTCCACTTCCTTCTTAAGCCCATGTGAGGCATTGATGGTGAAACTGGCATCCCTGCTCACTGGACTGCAGTGCGGAGTCACTAGTAAGCTTGCGCATGGGGCCAGAGCAGTGCCTGCTTGTGGCCTGCACTCACAGAGTGTCGGCTCCCGGTTCACTTTAGGGTCACTTCACACCGAATCGATGGACTCATCTTTTCATGCCAGGTCTCACATACTAGCCACTTGGGATCTCTCTTGGTAGGTGCACAAAGAGGCACAGAGAGGCTAAATTACTTGCAAAAGGTCACACAGCTCCTAGGAGGAAGCAGAGTTAGGACTCAATCCCATTGACCACCTGCTCAGCCATCCTTTCATCCAGTTTCTGGGGATGGGGATGTAGCTATGGAAACTGCATGCATTGAACTTTTAAAGACTAAACAGGGTAGCTATCAGAGTTAGATGGATGGGGTCATGGTTTAGACAGAGATTCAAGCTTTAATCTGCTTCCTTCTTGACCAATGAGAGGAGAATGAAAATCCCCACTTTCTTGAGCAGCAGAAGCAAGAGTAGTATATAGTAGGATCTGTGGGGCAGGGGACAGAAGGCTCCCTAGACAGGCTACTGCCCCCTCCTCTACCCCATCCCTGAGCCAATGGGACAGCCAGGAGTGAGGCTCTGAAACCCACAGTCAGCACTTCATGGGAAGAGATGAGTCAGGGTGCCCTGGGCATGAGATCCTAGCAAGGGTTCCACCAGGCTTAGGCTTCAATGTAGGGAAACTGTCCCCTTCCTAAGAGTTGGCATTGTAGATAGAGTGAGGATACCCATTGCTAGACCAGTTCAGCCTGTGGACAGGCCTGAACCCCACCCTCCCTGCCTTCCACCCCACCAGCCTCCTTACTGCCTCAGAGGAATCTACCCGAAATGCAGACCTGACCATGTTGTACTTGGAGCTAAAAATCTCCTGTGGTCCCCACCACGTCCCCACCAAGACCATGCCCATTGGGTGATAGATACACAGTACAGTTTCATGGGCACAGTGTACTCCCCTCACACGCCCAGCTTTGGTCACTCTGCTTCTTTGTGCTTTGGACACTTTGCTTGCCTGGGCTTCTCTCTCTCTCTCTCTCTCTCTCTCTCTCTCTCTCTCTCTCTCTCTCTCTCTCTCTCGTGTGTGTGTGTGTGTGTGTGTGTGTGTGTGTGTGTGTGTGTGTGTGTGGTGGAGGTGCAGGTGTACTTGCCAATGCATACACACATGGAGGTCAGAGGTTGACTTTGAATGTCTGCCTCTGCTGCACTCCACTTATCTTTTTTTGAGACAGGGTCTCTCACTGAGCCCAGAGTTCCCTGCTTTGGCTAGGCTGGCTGGCCAGCAAGTCCCAGAGATCTGCCCATCTCCAGTCCCCCAGCATCAAGGCATCCATCATTCACATGGGTACTGGAGATCTGAATTCAGGTCTACACTGAGTTATCTCTAGCCCTTACCTGGGCTTTTGACCATGGGGTCCCTCTGCACAGGTGTCCTTCCTTCTCTCCCTTCATCTGAAGCCACTAGGTTCCACCTACATGTAACCTTTCTGTCTGAACTAACCATTTCTTACTTGAGAAAATCTCGGAGCCAGTGAGGGTCCCTGCTGAAGATGTCCACAGCCCCAAGTGTTCCTGTGCTATAATTATCTAAGAAAGGGCCAGTCTCCTTCTCTGAAATAGGATTCCTGCAGCCAGGGGATTGAGGTGGGGTTTCTAATTCTTGTATGTATAGTGCCTGGGGCAGAGAAGGTGATAAAGAATGGATGCATTCGTGGATGTGTGGGTATGTAGATGGATATAGAGAGTGGGGGTGGGTGGATGGATGGGTGGATGGATGGATGGATGGATGGATGGATGGTGTTTTACTTTGGCCTCTGTTGCTGTGATAAACACCATGACCAAAAGCAACTTAGGAACGATAGGATGTATTTCAGCTTATAGTTTATAATCCATCGCGGAGGAAAGCCAGGGGAAGAACTCAAGGCAGGAACCTAGAGGCAGAAACTTAAAGCAGACACCATGGAGAAGTGCTGCTTGGTTGGTTGCTGTGGAGTGGTCATAGTCCCATACTTAGCGAGCTTTCCTATATAGTCTGGTACCGCCTTCTTATGGATGGTGCTGCCCCCAGCGAGCGGGTCCTCCTGCGTTAATTAACCAGCACAGTTTCCCCTAGACATGCCTGCAAGTCAGACTGATCTAGGCAGTTCCTCAAATCAAGTCTTTCCTCTCAGATGACTCTAAGCTGTGCCAAGCTGACAGTTAACACTAACTAGGACATGAGTATATGGAAGACAGATGTGTGGGTGAGTGAATGAATGGGGTGGGTGATTGGATGAGTGAGTGGGTGGATGGGTAGGTGAGTGGATCAATAGATGGAGGATGGGTAAACAAATAGATGAGTGGATAGAGGGATAAGTGGATGAATAGATAGATTAGTAGGTGGGTAGATGAGTGGACAGATTAATGGTTTGGTGGTAGATGAGCAGACAGACTGGTAATTGAGTGGGCAGATACACTGGGGAATGGACGAGAAGGATAAGTTGACTGCTGGCTGGGAAAGCTGGCCAGGTGAGTTAGCGAATGGACACAGGGACAGGTGGGTGTTGGTCCTTGCTTTACTGCTAGAGAGAATAAAAACACCCCAGTATTTGAGTGGCAATGTTCAAAGCCACTGCTCCTGGCCCCATTCTTTATCTTTAAATGTTCTCAGTGGCAAGAACATTCCCAAATCAGACTTAATTCTTCTAAATCAAGGTGATGCTCACATCACAGAGCCAATAGCTTTGAAGTGGAGTCGTGCAGCAGGACTCAGTCTAGTCCCAGCTGCAGACAGGCCCACCTCTGTCTGTGCAGGCTTCCGTCACCAAAAGGAAGCAGCAAAGGCATTCTGTCACCCCCGTGGCTACCTCTGACCCGTGAATTGACCCTTTCCTGACAAGTCATCCGAGTGTAATCATGCAGTCTGTGGCCTTTGTGTCTGACTTCTCGTCTTCCTTAGACTTCTGTGTCTTGATAAACAGAAGTCCTGAGAGCAAGATGAGGACGGGGTTATTCCAGCTCACAGCTGTAGTCCATCCTGGAGGGAGATCAGGGCAGGAACTTGAGTCAGGAACTGAAGAAGAGACCATGGAAGAATGTTGCTCCTCACGGCCAACTCAGCCTGTCAGCCCGGGACCGTGTCAACCACAGTGATCTGGGCCCTCTCACATCCATCATCATTTAAGATACTGCCCCACAGGCCAGCCTGATGGGGCATTTGAGGTTCCTTCTCCCCAGATCATTCTAACGTACACACGCACGCACACGTCTGCATACTTGCCCACATGCAAGTACACTCCCAAACCAAACCCTACCCGCCACATTTCTTAAGCTTCTGTGGCCAATAGAAACTAGTTTCTGAGATCAGGGAGGATTCTGAAAAACGGGACCACCATGACTGCAGCCCGAACCCTTTTGTTCAGGAGCTCTAGGAAGCATCTGAGTCTGAGAGGAGGTGGTAGAAGGCTCCGGAGATAGGCATGGGAGAGAGTTAAAATCATGCCAACCCAGAGGCTGGTGAGATTGCAGTAAGCAGGAACTGGGGTGCTCTTTCCTGAACTGGGGAGCTTTCCCCATATCCTGTGAATGGGCGACCCTCCTCTGTGTCGTCCATGAACACAGAAGGCTCCCTGGGTGCCTAAAGCTTTAGTGCCTTTCAGTGACTCTCACTGTGGCCCTGCCGGGAATTCATTGTACAGGTGCTCATGTGGAGTTCAGAAAGGTGAAGTGACACACTCATCTGATGCAACAAAGTGGCTTGGCTGAGCCTCAGACAGTGCACATCCGGCCACAGCGTCTGTGATATTGGTTCCTATGTCCTTGCATCAGGTCTCACAGCCCAAACAGAATCGGAGCCCTGAAGGACTTTGGCTCAGGTTTTCTGCTCCCAAAGAGCCTTCTCAATCCATGCCTGCTGCCACTGAAGCCCCAAATCCTGGTCTCTCCCAGTATCTACTGGCTCCCTCTGCAGGTGGCAGCAAAGGATGCCTTCATGGTACAAGGCTGCCACCTGGTGTCTATGATGTGTACAGCAGCCCAGGAGACTGAGGCCAAGAACTGACAGGCTTGTTTACCTGACTGATCTCATTCAACCCTCTCTTGGCCCTACAGGAGCTACCCTTTTGTACGGGAAGGAGGGAGAAGGAGGGAGGGAAGGAGGAAAGGGGAGGGAGGGAGGAAGGTGACAAGGACAAATAAGGATGTAACTCCTTTTACACGAGGTCTCCAGAGCAGCTGGCTTTGTAGGAACAAGATGAGCAGCGGAGTTTGTTAGGAGATGAAGGACAGAATGGCGTCCTGCCTAACAAAAACAGACTTTCATTTTCATCAGAAAAAGGAAGTCTAGAGACAG